GATCCTTTTAAAGCAATAAGTCCCATCTGCTATATTTTCCTGCACTTCTAGCCAATCAGTGAGTACACATATACATGAGTACATGTTAACAGAGCTGGTTAAGAAATATAGAGGCATTGTAAAGAATCTGCACGGGGCTCTTGTAAAGAGACAAACTGTTGACAGGTTGGTTTGAAGTTCACGATAAGTAGCTTGCTTACGAGCACTTGTGAAGCAGCGATGGTTAACAGTGTGTGGTTTGATGGCTGAGTCAACAATGAGGAAAGAAAAATAAAGGCAAGAGTCTGACCTCAGCGGCAGTTCCAGTCACGTAGTGGTTGCTGGAGTTGGTGGATGTTATCTCGATGCCCTGAAAGAAAGCAAAAAAAAGGAAAAATGTTACGTACTTTCCCGAGTGATAAATTTATGAACTTTGCCACACAGAATGTCAATTTTGCACATGGCTGAATCAGAATGATTCACCGTAATGGACAGATAAATTTACTGCGTCTTCTAGCTGTCATTATCAGATTATGTACATAAAGATATTGGTGTCAGCCTCTACCTGTCATCCTGCTCTGACTGATCATTTTAATATAACGGGCGTATGGAGAGAAAAGCCCTGATCACATAATAAATACTTATCACGACAGAAACTGTGGAAACATGAATGGAGTTGATCCATTTTTGACTAAAAAGCTCAAAAGTGATTTAATAATTAAAAGGCACATTGGTGCTCACATAGTCCTCTTCTACTCAGTTTGAGCTTTATTACTGCAAACCTCATTCACATATTCACGTTCACATTCATAAAAGTGCTTTTTTTTTAAAGCCTGTGCACTTTGAACCTAACCCTCACACTCACATGGATGCATATGGGAAAATTCTTGGTTCGATATCTTGCAGGCTGGAAGAGCAAGGAATCAAACCACCAACCTTCTGATTAGTAGACGACCTCCTGAGTCACGACCACCAATAAATCAAATTATTACATTTATAGATACATTTAATAATTAAACGCACTGTAGTTTTCAGTAAATGAGCGATGACTAAAGTATAATGAAAGAGAGAATTGCAAAACGCAGCAGTAATTACCTGCCTTTATGATCAATGAAAGCTGCAAACAGCTTCATTGTTTAATAAATGTTTTCAGTGCTTATAAATAAATAGTCCATTTTAATAATATGCTTTTTTTCTTTCTAAAGTCCAAAAAATATAAATCTACCTATAATGAACACTAGGAGCCAGACTGAGTCACTTTCTCTTAGTCATGTACTGCAAACAATCCCCACCTGAAATGCTTTTGCGCATCTTCCTTTATCTTCACTTCATAACTCATGACTCGCTCTCACCTTATCTCCTTTGTGACTGACAGAAATGTGAATTTGAGAATTTATTTTTTTGTGTGCTTTGGACTCGTGTGCACGTCATGACTTGAGCGGGTATACGTCATACTGGCTACACTGAAAGTGCATAAATCATCATTCTTCCTGTCCCTCACTTCCCTTGGTTTCTCTTTTTAGTTCTCGTTACTCTTTAATCTGTCGACAGGCAGAAAGCACTATTGCTGACGTGCTCTAATCAATTTCCCTCCGCCGAGGACAATCAGTTTTTGACGCTCGCTGTTAAGCACAAATCACAAAAGGGAAGGAAATTGGTTTAACACATTTCTCTGTGTGGATTAAAATGAAACTAAAGGGACACAAGATTACGTAAATCACAAACAAAGATGAGAGCTGTAATTTTACTACTTGATGTACTGACTTGGAGGAGAAAAGAGAAGAAGCGGCACAAAAAGTACACAACTGAGATAAGGGTTCTCGTGAATCTAATGGAAACAGGTACAAGGAGAACCTTGAGTTAGATGGAAGAGGTGGTGATGATGATGGAAACCACCGGGCAATGATGAAGACAGGAAATGAATACTGAAAATAAAACCGCGAGAAGAAAGTAGGACAAAAAAGTGAAGTGAAGAAACGGAGAGATGAGGTTTGAAAAGTAGGAGACATGGATGATTAGGAAAGTGGACCAGAGGAAAAACTTTAGCGAGTGAGGTTTAAATTCAAGAATGAGTATACATAACTGGATTTAATGCACTAAATCTAAAGTTACCTGACTCCTTTTTAAACATGTACACAGATGTTTTCCTTTGTGTGCCATTAGAAACAATACGTCCTCTCAGGAGTTCTAAATTCAATGAAGGCAAAAATTCTAAAGTTATAAAGCGAAAGATGTCTTTACCAGCTGATCACCGGGTGCCACGGGTATCAGTTCGACACTCTCTAGCTGAGCGGTGTGATTGAGGAGCGCTTCGGGGCAGCAGTTTAGGATCTCGTCACAAACCGCCACCAAGTGACGGCACTGAGGAAAGAAACACACGATGTGTAGCGTGCCATTCAGAATATCTCATTTACTTCATAGTAAAACAAAGGACAGCAAAACAGGTGAAATTACTCCAAGGCACAATGAAACGGACGAACGTAGAAATAAGTGAGAAACTTACGACAGAGATGATGTCCTTTTCTTTTTCGTAGCCAGTGCTGTTCTGTTGGATGAATTAAAAAAAATGACATGAGCAGAAGGCTGACCAAATGACACCCTGTAGCCTATGTACGACATGCTAATGTTATTGATTTGTGGAAATGGGACAGTTTGACTAAAAACCCATGTCCCATTTCCTCTTCACAGCATGAGTCAGGAAGTGAAAGGCCTCGGGTTTTTAGAGGACACAGAAGCATCACTGGAGATCTTTAGCGTGTTTTTTCTGGCTTTCTACAATGAATGAATGGTTGCTCTTCACATACAGACGCGTCAGTTATCTTTGGATCAGATCTGCACCATATTCTTTTAGAGTCCACCTATTCTGTTGTGTCATCCAGTTTTAAGCTTTATCTAATTTTTTTCCTGTAATTTTATCCTTGGCCTTGATACCATGATGGCAAACAGGCCCAAAAGGCCCCACACTGTGCACTTAAATGGCATATTTTTACCACAGCAGTCTTTATGATGTGTTTCTCATTCACCTATTCAGCCATACTTGGGGCTGCGATTGGTGGACAACCCACTAAACCACATGAGCCACAGCTGCCCTGTGCCCATGCTGATATTCAGTTCCCCTTTCCTATGCTAAACGAAATGAGTTCTTTCAATATAACTGAAACTTTAACAATTTAAAAGGTCCAGTACTCGTGGGTGCACAGGATTTTTTTTTAAATTATATTATAAAATTTGCAAATGGCAGACTTATAAAAAGAGATATTCCTCAACTCCAGCCTTTTATTTGGTTTGCGTCAGCAGATACTTTTTGTGAGGAGAAAATTGAAAATCTCTGACAAATATCAAAGTGGCCTTGGCCTTGTTTGCGCTGTTTCATTTTTCAGATTTCTTGGCGTTATTACCCAGGAGTTCACATACTGTACTAAACGGTACACACTCTCCTAATACATTTCTACCCAGAGTGGGTAACACACTGATTTGTTGCTCATAACTGTCACGCAAGATGAACCCATCTTTTAAGACAAATGCTGTCGTTTACTGTACATGAAACATTGCAAACATTATAATGTTAATGTTACAAATGGATCATCTAAACACGCACACATGCACGCACAGACATACACACAGTCAGTATCACAGTTACTAGAATTCGTGCGATAGATGTATGTTGGCTAATCTCTGGTTTCTGGGATGAGGGTGTTAATAACGCCTTCCTATGAGCTTTCCTGCGAGGTAGCTGAGTAGTCCCGGGAGCTAAAGAAACAAGCAGAGGCTTTGAACGATGGAGGATGATGAGGGGTTAAAGGTGAATAGGGCATATGTTTGCACACCATATAATATTCACTGAATCGACTAATGCCACACACTATTACTGCCCTAAGCTAATTTGCAATGACCAGCGATGTAATGGGTTACATAAAGGATTGCAAGGGGAAACTAATCCCTGTGAAATGTAGCAAGGGATCAACAGTGAACATGGCTGGATTTCAGGGCTAATTAAAGGCTGTGACACAAGGCTGCAGGGAGAGGTACGACGTGATTACTGGCCAGTTCAACTGGTCCGCTTGTGCTTGTGTTCTTTGTATGCTGCTATTCCCCGTGGGGATGACTGCATGAGAGTGGCTGCAAACTGTTATATACACCAAAACAAACCTATAAAGATTAAGATATTCAGATCTTTATTTTGATCCCTACTACGGCAACAGAGTCTTGTCATGGCACATTGCTTGTGAGTTAGGGTGCTAAATGTGTAATAAGTTTGTTAGTTGCTCAGGCTTAAATCTCAACATAAACCAAAGAAAAGATGCATAAAGCAGAACATCAATGAGCGCCTTGTCCTAAAGCACAAAAGCTGCATCATGTGTAAGTAAGATGCGAACCAAAGCATTATAATTACCATATAAAGGCATGATCGAAACATTAGGAAAAAAATAGATGCAGCGCTAATTTAAGCCATTTGCAGAAGTTTTACATGTCCCTCAATACCACAAGATAATTAAGATAATCGCAAGAGGCATCTACAGCCCTGCTAGAAGGCTTGATACTTTCTGCAGGGACATTTCACAATAATCTGTATAGCATCATTATTAACAATTGGCTTCAAACAAACAAAAACAGCTGAGTTTTTCAGATACGGCCTGATCGCTCCCTTCACACTGATGCTTTCAGTTTCGTAGGTATGCTCACAGAATATGTAATATTTACCAAAACACATCCTTATTACAAACACAAGGACACACCACTGCATTAGTTATGATGTGGTTGGCTGGAGATTGTTCACGTTATCTCTCTAAGCTCCAATAGTTACCAGCTACGCTCCTCCAAACAGCTTTTTCATGTCCAGACGTTTCAGATGGATTTGGGGAAAACAGCATTTTGTTTGCATCTTTTAAAATGGGATGCTCTGCACATAGACCTAAACTTAAAGTTTTATCTACTGCTGAACTTAAAAGCATCATATGAAAGAATGTCCCCAAAGTTAGGTGTCATTTTATTCTTGAATGACGTTTATGTCCATGTTGTCCAACAAAACAACACAAAACAAAGACAAATCCTCTGAAAATCCGAGAGAACTGTTGCTCAAGAAATGCAAGAAAGTCTGCTCCTGGGAAGCAAAATATAAAGGTATTTAACTTAACATATTTGGGACCCTGAGGGTCTTGACTATGTTGGTAGTGGCTTGCTGTGTAGTTGATCGTACTAACAGACAAGTCTTCACATGCTTTTTTGTTTCTATGAGTGAATTTTTAGAATAGAATAGAATAGAATAGCTCTTTATTTTCATTGTACATATACAACCAAATTATGGTATTAGTATTGATATTATATGGTTTTGGTATTAGTAAATCATTGTTGTTTTATTGATATAATTAGCAGATATCAACCAGATACCTATGTCTGTGCAGTGTACTCATAGGATTAATGAATGTACATTTCAAATCAAGTGGGCTGGCTTAGCTAGTAACCTGTAACCCAATTGATGCTTCAACATGCTGCAGACCAGTAGATGATTGAACTGTGGCTACATCCATCTCTAGTATGACATCCTTAAATTTGGTGTAAACCTCAGGACAAGAACTTATTTTGTACAAATCAGTGCTGTAAATAGCAAAAGTAACTGCGGTTCTAATTTGGTGCCACCTTTTACACACATTATCTGTTCTGCATTAGGTTCTTTCCTGTAAAAAATCTCACCATAGCTTTATAGAAATATGGTAAAAATAAAGCCAAACCCACGCCTCTACTTTCTGTTGTATTTAAGGTCACGCCACAGGTTATTTCCCTTTAGCAATGCAGTCTGTTCTGCATTTTTTTCTAGCTCTGCCAGAATAGGAAATGACACACATCTCAGGTGGGCGACAGGTACAGTTGTGGCGTGAAACTCAGCTGGGCGTGGTGGGAAAACAAAGACCACAAACTAACATTTCTCACTGCTGGTATCACACTAAGAATCAACAGGCACCAAAACTGTATGCATGGGTGTGTTCATGCGTATAGAAACAATGAATCACCCCTTTCTAACATAAGTAAAGTGAGCATTGAAATTACAAATAATTATTACACATCTATAAAAAGAATATGAGAGCTTGTCTGTGGTAAAGACCTGACAAAGAAAGAAGCAGAGGAGAGGAAATGAGATAAGATGTAAGGGGTGGGAAACATATTTAGTTCTCAACAGCATGTTGTACTGTCACTCTCGAGTTGAATCAATTTTAGATCGCCATCAACAAAAGCAGAACAAGATGCCCACAAAACTGAAACAATGAAATTGATGCAGGCCTATAAACTGTAACTTTGCCAACAAAACACAGCAATGGCACTCACTAGGTTTTGAGCAACAACAAGTTTATTCTGCAGCCAGATTCTCAAGCCCGACCTTTAACATTACTCCAACTATAATAGTTACAGATTAGCCACAGTGTAGACATCAATAAATGGTAGACAATCCCAGTTAGGAAGAGCAGCAAACTTTAAAAAAAAAGAGACACAAATCTTTCTTCATCTCACCTTTAATGAACGAGAACAGTAGTTTGTATGCCGCCGCACTGTTCTGCTGCAATACTGCGCTTAGTGTTGTGCCAGCCTGATTTAAACATGCTGTTGTGCAGCCAGTGCTTAAAAAAACCTAATCTCGATTCCTCTGTTCTTGCAAACTTCAGGCCTATTTCAAAGCTCCCCTGTCTGTCCAAAATTTTGGAAAAGATTGTATTTGTTCAGCTGCAATCTTTTCTATATGGTCACAATGTTCTCGAGAGGTTTCAGTCTGGTTTTAAAGTTTTTCATAGCACTGAAACTGCACTTTTAAAAGACTCAGGCAACTCAGCTGTGCTTTTGCTTTTGGATTTGACCGCTGCATTTGATACTGTTGACTCCTGATCTCTCGGTTGGAGCAATGCGACATCAAAGGCACTCCAGAGTGGTTCAGGTCATACCTCTCTGATAGGACTTTCTCAGTGAAGATTTGAGATTTTACCTCTTCCACAGCCTCCTGTACTTATGGTGTTCCCCAGGGTTCTGTACTGGGGCCAATTCTATTCTCTATCTATATGTTGCCTCTGGGTCTTATTTTCAAGAAATATAATATTAGTTTTCACTCATATGCTGACGACACTCAGATCTATCTTCAGCTAAAGAGAAACACTTGCAAGGCTCCAGCATGGTCCAGAATGCCGCTGCTTGTCTTTTGACACGAACAAAGAGAAATGAACATATCTCCCCGGTGCTTGCCTCACTTCACTGGCTCCCTGTATGTTTTACAATCAATTATAAAATCTTATTTGTGACTTATATAGCACTGAATGGACAGGCCCAGGGTATCTGTCAGACCTACTGCAGCCTTATATGCCCCCTAGAGCTCTTAGATCGGGTGATCTTTTGCTTTTGGCCACATCAAGGTCGAGGCTGGTTCTTAGAGATGATCGTGCATTTGCGGTCGTGGCGCCTAAATTGTGGAATGATTTGCCTCTCCACATTAGACAGGCTCCTACCCTCAACCTTTTTAATCCTACCTGGCTATTTGGCATTGATGTTAATTGATATTGCTATTTTATTGTGTGTTATTTTATTGTGTAATTTGTATGTTTGTACAGCACTTTGATCAACACCACTATTGTAATTAAAAGTGCTATATAAATAAATAAATAGAAATGACTAGGAATAGTGCTGAGCTGTCTTGTCTTGTGGATCATGGTGTGTGTGGCCCGATCAGGTGCTGAGCTAACTTTGGAACAACATCCTGTGCCTTAAAGCTGTTTGCTCCATAGTTGTCTAGGAAACAATGACACGCTTTTATGTGGGTGTAACATTCAGAAAAACAAGAATGGGCACAGCCATGCATGGGCACACACACAACAGGAGGCTAAAACCAACACACAAACGACAAATGAGATGACAGGAATGTACAGTATGCCCAAACATGGACTGTTGATTGGAGGCTGTGTGCAACCTATTACAGATCCTTAAAATCTACCAAGCTTTACATCAAAAGTCTACACAAGATCTCTTGAGACAGACCTCTGCTGCCTCAGCGTGCATGTTTACATACTTGGACTACCCCTGTGTTAACCACCAACTCACAGACTTGCTATAAAAAGACTGGAAGACATAACTATGTTAGATCTCTTCTACTCCTGTTGCTCTTTTCCTTGTTTTTGTTTTTTTTTCCAAACCTTTTTCCAATTCTGGTCTTTTTGGGATTTCTCTTCTGCTCTTGTTTTTTAACCCTAAAAATAACACAAGCTATAGTTTGACAGCTCTCATGCATGATAACTTTTTCATCCTCTTGCCAATTCATCCTGAGTGTAATTCCAGTGAGCAATAAGATCCCAATGCTAATTTTAAAGATGAAGTAGTTGTGTTCTACAATTCGTTTTATATTATTATCTGCCTGCTTTAAAACACAAGAATAAAAAATAAAAAGAATTAAATAGATAAAAACAAAAGGGTGTACACTGCCTCTCGTCCTTTGACAGCTCGATAGGCTCCAGCCACCCTGTGCATAGTCCTTCAAGGGTTAAACATTAAAACCTCTTGAGTAACACCTTCACCTTGATGTTCTCATGTGAAAGGCACTATTAAAAGTCTGACTGTTGTTTTTCCAGAAGAAATGGAATTCCAGTTATACTCACGTACCTTTTTATAATGAATTTCCCTTCTCTGTCCCTCTCTCTTTGCTTGCTGCTTGGCTGCTTCAAAGCAAACTGAGCCTGTGCTACTGTGAAAATCAGACCTGACAACTTTAGTGCGGCATCTTCAACGACACCAGCTGACTACTGACCCCGAGCACCCTCGGGGTGAGAGAAAAGAAACACGCACACACTTAAATATACACAAGCACACAGGAAATAAGACTCCTTTTTTTTATGCGAAGGATGTGGTTTGGCTTCTTTAAAAGCCCTTCTTTAGAAAAGACGTCATGCTAAAGGGTGGCCTCCTGACAGGACAGTAAATGCCACGGGGTGGGGTGTGTGATACCAGCCGAGCCTGAAGCAAAATCTTTGGAAATGCTAGTTTGTGTGGATGCTTTTAGTGATGCTATGTGCACACACGCTGCTCAAAACTGACCTTACAATTGACCTGCCAAGAGTTTTCTATCAAAACCGTTGATATCCAGCATTTATACAGTAGATGTGGCTGATGTTTAGGAAGAGGAACCTGAAACATTAGTCATCCTGTTTTCTGGTTAACACATAAGCCCGCTAATAATTTCCTCACATGCCTCTGACCTTACTTCACAGAATACTCTCAGCAGCTCTGAGCAGTTTTATATAAAATAACTAGCTTTAAAACACCTGATTATATTCAAAATTTAAAAACAGGAACAAACAAAAGCTCGTCGATAACAAATGGTAATCAACCGGACAATGAAAGAAAACAAATGGGGACAACGCTGATTCACCTCATAGGATCAAAAAAATCCTTTCAGAGTCAACAACTAAAATCAATCTTAAATCCATGCTTCCTTCCTTGCCTGCTGCTCACTGAAGCCCATTAGGGTAATGTCCTGTTTTCTGGACCCCAGAGATTGATTTTTAACTACACCAGCAGAAAATACACTTGCTTTTATATTTTAGTGTAGGTATTTTAAGCATTCAAGCAAAGAAAAAAAAGAAAAAAAGGATCAACATGTGGAGAGTTATCCAGTTAAAGAGATGAGAACTCTACCTGTCGTGATGGGCAGGTGTCCAGGAGCTTTAAATAAACCTCTCTAAATACTCAGAGTTCTCTTTCAGCCACAGCTTCTCTCTACTGCTTACTGTCTCTGTATCTCTCGAATTATCTTCCATTCATGTTATCGCTGGAGCTCCATTTTCTTTTTCTCCTCTTCTCTTCTCAACTTCTGTCAGGCTATTTATCTCTAATGTCACCACAGTGCCCAGCTAATAACTTCTCTCTGCTTGTTGCTCTTTGCAGCGCGTTTATCAATCCACACTCCCTCAGGAGTCAAAAGTCATTTAGCAGCGGTGGTGCAATCCCTCTCTCAGTCTCCTCCCCTTTCTCTCCCATACCCTTTGCTTCCCACTCAGCTCTTACCCCCCTCCTTCCTTCCCTCCCACAGGCACAACAACATATCCAGGCCTGCCTTTCCTGCTACCTGCGAGCACATTTCACCCACCTTTACATGTATCCTATTATAAATATTCTTTCTCCCCACCGCCATTTTTCTCAATAGCACCCTGCCGGGGTAAACACAGACCAAACCAAGCCGTTCATTTTGCCAGCCCTTTTAACCTGAGCGTCTTCAAGTTACAACTGCCTCCAAATATGCCAGGAATGTAAAGATAAAAATTGCATTACTCGGGCTAAACTGAGGAACAGGGAGTGTGTTTGTGCTTCTGGCTTGCTCGTTTGGGCTTTTTGATTTGAAAACTAAATAAATAAATCGCACAACAGGTTGCAGTTCCCCTTTGGAGGTTTATAGTGTGCATGAGAGTGCTGCTGGAAACATTGTTCAATAGTGTTTGGTTCCTCTTAAAAGTATACACTTTGTGTGGACTCACGAGCACATGTGCTGTGAAGTACTTGTATTCAATTCTCTGTATTGTAAGAGCAGACAGCTGATAAAATATATATATTAGTATATATTATATATTAGTTTGTTTGGTTTCTTTTACTGCAATAATGCAGTTGTAAGCCATTCACAAGCTCACGCTGAGACTTTGATGCAGTTATTTAGAAAAAATGGGCCTACCTTGTGCACAATGTCTCCCAGCTCTTTGCAGTAACTGAATATGTTCTTGGTGGTGGTGTATGTATTGAGCTGGGAATATTGACATCTGAAAAGAAAATGATTGCAGTTTATATAGAAAAAACTCTAAAAACCAGAATATGCTTAAGAAACAGCAGGGGGCCTTCCTGATTTACAATAACTTCAAAATTTAAAAATAAAAAGGTTAGCTTGCTTTCTGTTTACAGACCTGTTGAGCAAAGAGAAGAGGCCTTTGGCTGAGGCGATGAGTTCCACTACGAGATGCAGAATTGCGGGAGTCAGCTTGGTAGTGTGCCGTCCGTCGTAGCTGTTGAGGCGCCAGCGGGCCTGGATGCCCATCTGTAGGCTGTGAGCAACAGCGCGGTGCTTCTCTATCAGACCACGTAGGTTCTCACCGTCCATACCATAGGTCTGGACACGCACAAAAAAAAAAAACACAAATCCAACTAGTACAGTGCCCTTTTCACTCAAAAAACACTGTGTTACATTAATGATGTTGAATGTTTAATTCACAACACCCCCTTCGTTCCTACTGTCCCTTTACAGTTAACACAATATATCGCTTAAGATACATTTGATATAGTGTTCACAACATGTCCCTTTGACTCTGAACTGGAACCTGCTGTGTGTAGCACATCGGCCCCCTGCTCTCGCTTCATTTCCTGTCACTTCTATTCGGTGTATTTTTGAACAAAGCCAAAAAAATGCATCTAAAATCCTTAGAACACAATCCCCAGCATGTCATTTCAATATAGCTGTGGGGAGAGAGTTCAGAGAATTCATTATACAGACTTTTTTCTTGGTATTGTAGCATGAATGCTCAGCAAAGGCTGTGCGACCTGCACAAAACACAGCATTTCTTGTTGATGGAAAAATGTGTGTGGCCATGTAAGTTACTGTTGTCTAACATTTACTACCAGCATGACAATTGAATTGTTTATTACCCAATCAGACCTCTCAGGTCATCAGGTGCAGAACCTTTGACTATTCCCAGAATTAGATCCAAGTGTGGGTGCTTTCAGTTTCTGTGTTTTGTTCTTTGGAACAAGCTGCACGTTCGTCTGACCTGAGGTCAATTACAACCGTATCTACATTCAAAGACAAACTTCAAACCTTTTATTCTCACAGGGTTACGCTTCATGACTCTGTGTATGTATATTTTATATGTAATCTTTTGTCATGGTATTGATATTGTGTTATAGCACAACTGTTATGAAAAAATGCATGTCTGTTTTAGCTATTTTAGCAATTGTCTGAGCGATTATAAAGAACCATAATGAGTAATTTAAAAAAATTCCATTAAACACCTGTTTTTCATAAACTGCCCACATGGATCTAATCAAACCAGAGCAATTACAAAGAAGCACAGCATTTTATAAACAGTCTATCCTGAACCCTTAACTGCATAAATGATAAATCCTCACAGCACAATGCAATACAAGTGAAAAGGGGAGAAAAGCAAATAGATTACACTGTAACAAAGAGTAAAATCAATACATAATAATACAATCATATGCTTGCCATCACAGTTTGCTGGCCAGCAGCATGAGACGTGACTCTTTAAAACCACTGAAGGAGGAGCATGCAATTGTCGTGACCCACTCATTCATGGTCAAGAGGTTTGTTGGTACACAACCAGCCGGAACACTGGGCCTGTCAACAAGTGGCCATGAATTTTTCATGGCCTTTTCAACACTGTAGCTGGTAATTATCTAACCATGCGCGTGAATCTGTTTGGTCTACTCCATGTGAGTATCTGATGGGTGTTTTTATGAATGAGCGCAGTGTTAGCGCTTCACGGAGCATTAAGTCCTGGAGGGAGGAGGGGAAGTGGGCACATGAAGCCACATGCGCACTATAATGGAAGCTTGAAAAGTAAAGCTTTTACTTAAGTGTTGCACCCTCATTCGCACAGACTTTGGGTTTGAACTGTTCACGTTGTAATGACTAATCAGTATTAGTTATTTCAGCAGTTTAAGCAGCCTGAGTCTTAGGCTGATGTTTACAGGCTGTTACGCCACAGGAGCTGGAACCCGGCCTGGTACTGTCCTCCTCAATTAGTCCTAAGGCCATTCTGGAGTCCCCTCCACACACACACACACACACACACACAGAATTTAAGTCTCCTAAAACTTGCTCTTAAAATTGGACAAGCAGGGTAAATAATTAAGCAGCAGAAAAAATGGGATCGAGAATCAAAGGGAATGCATAAGTGTTTTTTTTTTTTAGTTGACTGCACGATTTCCCTAAAATTTGCATGCAAACTATTAGGCCCAAGCTTTTGCATTCTAAATCTGCTTTGCTTACAGCTGATGCATGACTAGTCCTTCGATCTTAGCTAGAAAACCAAAGTAAGTATTTTACTGTGATATGTTGGATTGTTGTAAAAGTGACAGAAAAGTCAAGTACTGGCTGTATGTTCTGGCTAGATTTGCAACCGATTGACCAACAGCTGCTCATTCCACTGTGCAAACAAAAATAAGGTGTAAAAAACATAGCAGTGAGGCAAAATTATATCTCTGTGCTGCTGTATCAGAACATACGCACCACCCGAACATGATAGCATGATTACTGCACCGTTACAAAAGCAAAAACATGACAAAAGATACTCTGAGATACACTCAGCATCACTCTCTACATGTAATTCTCATTGCTCACTCACCAGAGAGCACAGTTTCTCCACAGCCTCCAGTATAAGCTCCTGGTGTCCAATCTTATGGACTCCCAACGTCTCCAGGTCCTGAGAAGTCAACTGGAGCAGGTCCACACCTGATAGATGCCACTGTGCAACTGTATATTGATGCAGTGGGGTATCCAAACCTTGCCGAAGGGCACAAAAAACAACAGGCTTTAGCTGCACACATGGCAAAAGTGGGAAAGTCCACATACTCAAGTCCCGTGCATGTGCAGGCTTGAAAATGGTCTTCTTCTTCTCTACCACATGTTGAGTAATTAAGTTTGAAAAAGTAAAGACTTGACTGTGAAACACAAGTAGTTTACTAATATCTGAACACTATAGTGGTACCAAAGTAATACCAGTATTATGTGTATTAACTGTGCTATTAACTGTGTATTAAATTAAGCTGTGATTTATGATCAAAACCACATCAGTAAAAAGCGCAAGTCAAAAACATGATATTTAGAATTATCTCTAAAGCATGGAAATCATTGACACTTCTGTATATATAACTACAATATATCATTAATATGTAAGGATATTTTAATACTGCTTTTAAATTAACACTAAAGTGAAAGTATTTACAGCAAAATGTCCTTTTACTGTTCAAGCTGTATAATATATAGAGTGACTCCTTGTCAACTGTAATCCATAAAAAAGTAACATGTTTATAATTACAAAAAGGGAGCCTACCATAAATTCAAAATATTAAAGTTAATCAATTACCTCAAAGCTGTGCTCAGTTACTTTCCACCACTACTTTAACACGCTTTAACATACCAACTGGGTAGGCCTGTTTATATGACGAGATCTAAATAATACAAGTACATGACAAGCATTCATGTAAACTGTTGTTTCTGAAGACGCTATTTTAGTTGTTGACACTGAGCAGAGCTACACTGTTTTGGCTTCTCCCTCTGCACGGGCCACTTCCTCATTCCACCTTCACCTTCCACCTCCAAGAGGATTTGTGTGGCGATTCTATTTCTAACATTACCGTGCGAGCCAAAGTACCTGTGAAGTGATCAAGGCGTTAGACAAGGAAAAGTAATATGTGTCTCACCTTGGAGCCACTTGCTCACTCTCTCCTCGCTCCACGACGTTATAGACTCCATGCTCGGAGTCCTGTTGCAGTCGCTCGTTCAGTTCCCAGCGGTCCTGGCCGATTTCTACCTCTCTGGGTGGCTGGAAGAAGAAAAAGTAGATCCTGATTTGGAATCCGACGACGACGACGACGACTGGCACTCCTTCTCTCGGGTACAGGTAAGAGTTTCTCACCTGCTGTCAGCCAATAACACAGAACTGTCAGCCTCCACCAGGAGCAAGACCCCTCCCACCTATCCCCCACCCCTTCCTTACCTGAAGGAATAGTGTGTTTACTGCGGCTTTAAGACTTCAGAACTTCCCTCATACTTTACTTTCATGCGCAGCTCACGTCGCCGCTCAAAAAAAGGCGCACGGCTCATGCAGCAATGTGGAAGTATGTATTGCACACAACACCTCAACACCTGTACAATGCAATATAATAACAATGCGATAATCCTGTAATAGCCCTGCGCTACTTTTGGCTGGACCCGATTCAACCTTTTGATTGTCCACAGAAAAAACAGCAGATGCTGTGTAGAAAATTAGGTTTATAGAAATATTATGAGCCCTTTAACTCACACCATTGCTGATTTCCTTTTTCTTAAAGCTTCAAAATAGCTGAAATACACAGAAACTGTAACTTGTTCACTGAGACGCAGACTTAATCCTCTCTTCCAAGAATAACTGTTAGCCGCTTCTCCCGGGAATTTTCCGGAAATGTTTCCTTTTTTTATCATTTGAACTCAGCTGACTAGTTATTTTTAGCTATGGATAGGTTAACGTGACATTGCTATAACTTTATAAATATTGTTATAATGTCCAGTAGTTTTACAGTGTCAGACATTTTCCGCTTGCTCATTTATTTGTGGTATAAATAAATATATTAGGATCATCCTCCTGGAGGAAGAAATATCTTAGCTTATTTGTAAACACATTTTTGACCCACATGAAACCGCACAGATTATTATAATGCATCAAGCTGAATATATGATGCAGTTATCTACTTTAATATGGCCTCTTTGGCTTCTTATTTCTTCACCATAGGCTCCAATTCTACAGTAAATAATCTCTTAAAGAAAACTGTGAGTACAAAACAGCACCGTGAGAATGTGTGCTCTTGATCAAAATGTACTTTGATCAAGTGTGCTAAAGGGCAAGACCTGATGGAAAGGCTACTGGCATCAAAGAGCTGCCCTCTGATATCTGGCACCCTCTGCTGTTATCCTCTTTGAACCAAGAGAAAGAGGCAGAGGCAGGGGGAAAGCTGACCCCATATGTCAGTAGGCAAAATGGCACTGGCATATATGATCAGTGGCCACTCAGTTAGGTACACATGTTCATCCGCTTGTTAATGCAAATGTCTAATCAGCCAAAGATGTGGCAACAACTAAGTGCATTTAGGTATGCAGACATGGTCAAGAAGACCTGCTGATGTTCATAAGCACCTAAGGATGAGGAAGAAAAGTCACTGAAGGGACTTTAAATGTGACAAGTTTGTTGGTGCCGGACAGGCGTGAGTATTTCAGAAACTGATTGACTAGGATGTTCCCCACACAACCATGTCTAGAGTTAACGGACAATGATTTGAAGAAGAGAAAATATCCAGTTAGCAACAAATCTCTGGCTAAAAATGTCTTGCTGGAGAATGGCCACATTGTTTTGAAATTATGGAACAGTAATAGTAACAGTAAGAGCATTTCCGAATGCACAACAATTTGTGATTATTGCTGACTGAACTGTCTGTTGTATATTCTTCTACGTGCACTGATAACACAGAAATAACCAGAGCCAAATCCCTTGTATGTGTAGACACACTTGGTCAGTACAGCTGATCCAACTCTTGCTGGGTTAAAATGTTCTCAGCTCAAAATGTGAGAGGAAGAAGAAACAAACTTGTGTGTAACACATCACTCTACTAGCCTAACAAATCAAGTCTGAACCTGCCCCCAGTACTGCTCTGTGATCAAGTCCTAGATCAAGATCAACGCTATCCTGTAGTGTTTTGGGGCTTTTTTTTTTTTAATTTAGAAAGAGCACTTTTATTGGACATGGATCGCTTAAGCTGTTCTTTGGCTTTCCTGTTTTCCAGTCTACAAAAACCTAATAATAGCCTTTATAATCGTGACTTTTGACTTTAAGTGGGTTACAGGTCACACTGAAACTCACTGACATCACAATCTTAGATAGTTGTTTGTTCTTGCTGACTTTGGTCTCTGGGATTGTTTTTGTTTTAATGTATATTTTTGTATAGGCATGTTCTTGGCCCACCTACTGGCCAAGCCCAAATACCTGGGCTACAACTTCAAGCCTCAACATGCTGTTTTTTTACTCGACAGTGAAGATTTGCTGTTTGTAGACCGGAGAGGTGTACAAGCTGTTAGTGTAAAACAAAGTGTCTGTGTCATTTAAATCTATAACCTGTCTTCTCTTCTTTATTCCTCACTCTTTTCTTGGAATAACTGTAACCCACATAATTTCGTTAGGGATTATTAAAGTATTTTGACTCTGCTTGATTCTCTTTTATGAATTTCTATGCCCAATCAGTATTGCCAGTGGACTTTATCCTTAGTCATTCTGTCCTTTTAACTATTTCTTAATGGAAATTCCACAGATGTTTGAAATATAATAACTCTTTCTTCTCTTTGTTCATGATTTGTGTATGACACAAAGCCAGGATGTATTTTCAGTCATTACAACTGCATCTTGTCCTTCTCTAGTCAGTCAGCAGAGATTGAATAATTACCTTTGCTTCACTATTGAGCAGCTAATTAATTTGTTCAGTGCAGTAATTTCCTGGTGTCTCTGTTACATAATCAAATTAATCCTTTGGATTAACTACCCATAAACAGAATTCTACTTAACCTTAGATTGTTGCAGATCTACTCATTGTTATAAAGCTGAGTAGGAAAGAAAACATAAAACATAACTGTTTAAAATCTATTAACCTTACATATATCATTTGGTTATATGTAAGGTTGTTCCAACATACACACATATACAAACAGAAATATACTAATACTGCTACTAATAATGCGTTGCTAACCATTTTTCCTGTGTACCTCCCTGGTTTAAGAATAAAGGAGTTGTTAGAAACCCATGTGGTATCAGTCTTGTGTAAATAAAATAGGCTATGTCTACTGTTTATTTTATTATATGTCACATTTCGACAGCAGAAAGAAAACGTTTAATAAATGCTGAAATACAGTAAATACAGACAAAGTGCTTGGTTCACTCAGTTGATGTTAAAGAAGCGCAACTGTACACTGGAAAATACAGATGAAAAATTGGTGTACATCTATGGCACAATAGTAATGTAAAAATACAAAAAAGTAAAAGAGCAATAGAAATAATAAATCAGAGAAAAGCAAAGGCAATAGATAAGCAGATTTATTTTGAGATGCTTTTTCGAAACCGACTGCCACTTCACAATTGGAGTATCCATGTATTTGCATTTTAATTGCCCTGTTTACTGGGACTTACATAACACGATTCATTGTTTCTCCTTCCGCATGCTCGGTCTCACTCTCTCCTTTTTACCTCTGTGATTTCAGCTCAAAATGAAAATGAGGTTAATCAACAAGGTCAGGTTTGCATCCGTTTGTCTACTTTGCAGGCAGCCCTTTAGGGATGACCGAACAAGCCATCTACTTTGCTGCTTCTTGGCTTCAACAGCTCAACAAACACGCTTTAGTCATCTTTCCAATAAGCTAGTCTTGCTCCGCTGCACGTGCATATGAAGCTGTATAGAGTCATATTGCCCATTTCCTGTTGAAGGTGGGGGTAGGGCATCCCCAGAGTCACTGGATGGGAAACACCTCTGAGTCATCTGTGTAAGATGTGATATCACCAGAGCACCATGAACAGAATAAGAGATTCCTTGTAGTTAGTATAGCTGTGGACTGCACTCCTAACACAAAGACAGTCTCGACTTTCATTTGTTCAGTTATTTGTTTTATCAGGTTTGCCTCCCTTGTTGCTTATAATTTGCAGTTTACATTGTATTGATTTTAGGTGAGCCGCACTCTTCCTAAATCTCTTGATGTGACCTTTCAACCCTCTAGATAATCACTTTATTTCCTCCTATAAATTGCCTTTATTTACACCCCTCACTTCCACTGAAGGCTCACACCAAAAATGTCATATAACACAGGATGAGCCGTGCACAGTGGCAAACCATCAGGATCATTCGACTGGTATCCTTGGAGAGGTGGAGAGAAAGAAAGAGGAGAGAGCGACACTTGCCCAGCACATAATGGTCAAGGAATAATGAGGAGAGGGAGGATGAGAGATGATGAAAAGAAAAGGATGGTCTGTCGAATGGCTTCACTGAGGTGCCATGAGCTTTCTCTTAGCAGCTCTTTTTACCACGGGAGACAAATCAATGGGTTAATGCAACCTCTGGGTGAGCTGTGACTTTCTATTTTGCATACAATGTCAGCATGATGCATAATACTCCACTTAGGAAGGGTGATGTCACCCTTTGGTCACTCCTTGATGGTATGAATTTGTTACACGATAAATAGGCTACACATAAACACTGCGATATTTGAAGGGAAAAGGAAAGTCAGCATATTCCCTTCCCCCCCTTTCAAACCTCTGTGTGTGCAATGTTTGTGTGGGTATATGCATGTGTATTTTTTATTGTTATTGTTGTTATATAGTATGAATATTAATAGAAAACTGCAGTAACCCTTGAGACATTAATTAGTGTGGCAGTTTTTCTTGAGTAAACAGAAGAGGTGCTGCCAACAGGTTAGAA